AACTTGCTTGCGCCCCTCCACGGGGCACCTCAGGTGCCAAGAGGCATAAAGCCACGTATTTTGAGAATCTCCCTGAGGCACTTTGTTCAGTTCTTTGCTCAACTTGTTTGCTGAGCACTGCTGTGCAGACTCTGGGCACCAGGACCCAGCAGAGTACCAAACAGACCCAGTCCACCTTCATGAAGCTGCCTTCTAGTAGATTCAGTGCTCACGACCTCAGTTTTCTCAACAATCTTAACTTGTTTCCTCAGTCCACAGAAGACAAGCAACAAACTATTCACTTGTTGTAGAAGTCCCTACTGTTAAACTGGAGAGAAGGGGGAAGGGACAAAACCACCCCAGCTCCAAGCTGCCCCTTCAGGGTTGTTCAACACCGCTGTCCTCATCTTTTGGGCCTTCCGAGATAAGAGAAAGAGAGTCTAGTCTCCCTGTTCTGTCTCCTCTCCCCCAAGAAAAGGTAATTTTTAAAAAGTTTTTAAAGAGTGAAGAGCGTATCAACCCAAGAGCATGTCAGACATTAGAAAGGTTTTTGATGAGAATTGTTAAGACTTTACAAAATGGCTTTTAAACTAGGTAGGGTACAAGCAGAAAACAATTTTGCTTTCTTCTATGTTCCAAATCCACTATTAGATGGATCTCTTCTTCCCATCTCTGGGCATGCGTTAGAGCTTTTCCAGATATAACTTCTCCAATCCAACAAACTAAAATCAAAATTTCACTCTCATTCATTTTAAACCACATGTTGCAAGCCCATGATGGAGAAGAGAACAGGGTCCACTCTTCACCTGCCATGTTCTACTCTTGGTAGCTCCACGGACAGCGCATGGTTAAGACCGAAAGGTGAAAGGTCTTATTGCCCTGGTGCTGTTGTAGGTGGTGTCAGTGCAGCAGGTGGTGGATACCCACAGGTCAGTTCTTCCTCTCCTGGGCACCGCAGCAGGTTCTTCTCCTACCTGGCCCCTAGGGTACGCCTCTGCAGTATCCGTCTGTTTCTAACGCCTGCAAGTTGCATCCAATAGTTCACTCCACACACCTTCTTTTGGTGCCTCCTCTCTCCCTGCCAGGCAGTTCTCAAGGGTAGAGAGTTACAAGGATGTTCTTTCTACTTACCTTCTGTGGCCCACTTAGTTCCCAGCTAAAATATGAGTGCCAATTCCTGGACAGGTTGACCACTCCCACCCTAGGCCCACTCTTCCTTTATTCTCCAAGCAGCTCCGGCCCATCTGACTTCAGACTCTCTAAGTAAGACACTGCCACTGGTCACCAGGGCTTCCCAAAGCCAGTATACATATATCTACCTTGCTACTGGAAGGTCAATCGAAGGCTACTTCTCTGCCTTGCACCTATTTCAGTCCAGAAGGCCCAGAGAGAGCAAGGGACTTTACCAAGGCTACCAAACTTATTCTTGGCAGATAAGAACTGGGACCAAAACTCAGGCCTCTTCCTCCAAGGTTAGACATTTAATTGTACTGTGATATCTTGTATATTCTGAAATTCCATGTAAAGGAGAATTTGGAAAAGGTTCTACAGCCTTTTAAATGGACCTTCTGGTATGGGAAGGGATAGGAGGGCTCTGGTAGAAACAGAGTCATTTTCCCAGCCTGGCCATAGCTGGGGAAAGCCTCTGTCTGGGAGGGGTGCTGGAGCAGACAGAGATGGGACTGGGCCCGGGGACCTACCCCTTGCTGAACAGCCCTTGAACTTGGGACTTTATAGAGAGGCAAGGGAATGGGAGGTTAAGAGCCAAGATCTTGGTCTGGGAGAGCTGGGTTCAAATTCCAACTGTGCCTTGCAGGTCCCTGGGGGTAGGTAACCTCTCTGGGTTCTACTGCCCTCAGCTCTTATCATCCTTAGCTCAGTACCTGCCTCAGGGCAAGCACTGATCACTATTATCATCTATGCACATGATTTCATAGGCTTATCAGATCAACACTAGGTGGTAAGAATAATTATGCCCATTTTTATGGGGAAAGAAGTAGAAGTTGAGGACAACCAGGGTCACAGGATGGGGTGTGAACCTATATTTAGTCTGCTGAACTCTTTTCAGTCTCTCAGACCAGGCCTGGGCACCCTCCCTGACTCGGCAGCCACAGTATGTCCTGATGAGGCTGTGCCCTAGAGGGGTCACTGTCAGGACCGGGAGAGAGGTTGGCCTCTGCCCCCACTTCCTCAGTGAGGAAACCAGGTTTCAAGAAGGGAAGTGGCTTACTCAGGGTCTTGGTTCCTGCAGCCACCAAAAGCGGTATGGGCAGGAAAAGAAGGAAGTGACGATGGGTACAGAAAATGCTTCTCTACCCATCCAGCAGGGATGTGGCAGGGCCACAGCCAGCTCACAGGCCTGGACAATGGCTTGCACCCAGATACACCCAGAATGGGAGGCAGGTGGCTGTCCCTAGGCAGAACAGCATACAGGCATTCCACACACTGCCTTGAGGCTGAGACAGGAATATGCTTCCTCCAGCCCAGAGCTTTCCTGAGTACCTCCTCCTGGAGCCTGGTGGGATAGCCTGCAGCCCTGATCTGGTCTCTTCATGGGGAAAGTGAGGCCCAGAGTGGCCACCCAGAGTAGAAAGAAAGACCTGAAGTCTCACATCTGGCTTGAGCAAGCCTCTCAAAGGAGGGAACTGCATCTGCTGGCCACCTGGCAGCCTACCCCAGGGTGGGTTACCCTAGATGCCATATTGTGGTGGCCTCTGGCTACTTGCTGGCTGTCAGTACACAGCCTGCCAAGCCAGCGCAGCCCTTCTGCAAGGCAGCATTCCTCTGGCCAAGCCTGGGCACAGAGCTGGCCTCTGTGCATCCATGGTGACTGAATCATAGCCTGAAGTACAGCTTTGACTTGAAGTGAAGAGTTTTAACAATCATTTTCAAGTTATTTTAAATAGTTTTTGGATGTTTCAAAATAAAAAAAAAACAGTTGATGGGATGTCTATTGAATCCCATGTGTAGGCTGTCATCACAGGGTCCTTGTAGTGGCCTTTCCAATGGCTGTCATGTGTTGGGGAGTTGATGTTTCCTGGACTGTAAATTCTGATGCCCAGGAGGTCTCATTTATGCACTTGGTACCTCCACTGATGGGGTGTGAGGGACCTCCCATGTGCCTGTGTGAAGGCAGGTTTCTGAATCTTTTTTAAAAATGTTTTTATTGATTATGCTATTACAGTTTTCTCAATTTTCCCCCTTTATCCCCCTTCCGCCCTGTGCCCCAACCCTCCGGCATCCCCCTTAGTTCACGTCCATGGGCTGTACATATAAGTTCTTTGAGTCCTCTGTTTCCTATACCATTTTTTCTCCCCCCCCATCCATTTTAGGCCTACTAATTATGCTTTTTCTTCCCTGTACCTTTCCCCCCTATTCCTCCCTTCCCCCTCCCCACTGAAATTCTTCCATGTTGTCTCCATTTCTCTGATTCTGTTCCTGTTCTCGTTGTTTGCTTAGTTTTTGTTTTCATTGTTTTTTCTTTTCTTTTAGGTTCATTTGTTGATAGTTGTGAGTTTGTTGTCATTTTATTCATATTTTTTATCTTCTTTTTTTTAGACATGTCCCTTTAACCTTTCATACAATAATGGCTTGGTGATGATCAACTCCTTTACCTTGACCTTAGCTGGGAAGCACTTTATCTGCCCTTCCATTCTAAATGAAAGCTTTGCTGGATAGAGCAATCTTGGATGTAGGTCCTTGCCTTTTGTGACTTCAAATACTTCTTTCTAGCCCCTTCTTGCCTGCAAAGTTTCTTTTGAGAAATCAGCTGATAGCCTTATGGGAACTTCTTTCTAGGTAACTATCTCCTTTTCTCTTGCTGCTTTTAAGTTTCTCTCCTTATCTTTCATTTTGGGTAACTTAATGATGATGTGCCTTGGTGTGTTCCTCATTGGGCCCAACTTCTTTGGGACTCTCTGGGCTTCCTGGACTTCCTGGAAGTCTATTTCCTTCTCCAGATCGGGGAAGTTTTCCTTCATTATTTGTTCAAGCTATCAATTTCTTGCTGTTATTTTCTCCTTCTGGCACCCCTATATTTATGATATTGAAGCATTTCAGGCTCCCCCAGAGGTTTGTAAGTCTCTCTTCACTTTATGAATTCTTGTTTCTTCAATCTGTTCTGGTTGGATGTTTATTTTTTCCTTTTGTTCCAAATCATTGCTTTTAGTCCTGGTTTCCTTCCCGTCACTGTTGGTTCCCTGAACATTTTGCTTTATTTCATTTTGCATACCATTCATTTGTTTTTTTCATTTTTCGACCAAGCTCAATAAGATCTGTGAGCATTTTGATCACCAGGGCTTTAAATTCTCCATCAGATATGTTGGCTATCTCCTCATCGCTTAGTTCTCTTTCTGAAGTTTTGCTCTGTTCTTTCATTGGGGCCCTAGTTCTTTGTCTCTGTGCACCTGTTAAGTTGTAAGGGGGCGGGGCCTTAGGTGTTCACCCGGGCAGGGCAACCCTCCTTGCTGCACTATGACGCTTCCTGTGGGGAAGGGGCCAGAGAGGGAACAATGCAGCTCACCTGCTCATCTCTAGTGCACTTTCCAACGAACCCTCGTGTGAGACTGGGACTTTCTCCCACTTCAGGAACCTCCATGGTCCACAGTCAGCTCTGAGGCTCAGTTCACCTTCAACCAGCCCCGCCTGCCCAGTCTGCTGTCTCGCCTCAGTTTTTCTGAGCCTGCCAGGCCTGCACAGTCCGCCGCCTTACTGGTCTGCTTGATTTTGTCCTTAATTCCTTGGTTGTCGGAGTTCCATGCAGTTTGATTTTTCTGGCACTTCTGGTTGTTTATTGATTTTAGATCGGTTGTTATCCACCTTTTGGTTGTGTGAGGAAGCAAAGGGTTTCTACCTACGCCTCCATCTTGGCCAGAACTAGGTTTCTGAATCTTAAGAGCTTGCCTTTGAATGAGGGAGATAGAGGCAGTTGGAGAGGTGGCCAGAGGGGTACTTGCCAGGTTGTGCCCCCAGCCAGCACTCCCCACTGTGGTTCTCATGCATCCTTCTGCCTTGTGCGACAGTGCAGGGACTTCACAGCCCACACAGGCTATGAGGTGCTGCTGCAGCGGCTGCTGGATGGCAGGAAGATGTGCAAGGACGTGGAGGAGCTGCTGAGGCAGAGGTAAGCACCCACAGGGCGGATGAGGCAGGCGAGGAAGGGAGGCCATGGTCCCCCCTGCCCCTCAGCTCCGAGAACTGGCTGAGGCTGCTCATCCCAGCCAACATGCTGTCAGAGCAACCCTTGCTTTAAAAAGTCATGAGTGTGGCTCTGCTGTATTTCCCCAGATGTGGGCCCCCATGAAGTGAGCAAATAATCTGGTGTCCTGTCAAATGTACCTGTATTTGGCCAACATTTATTTAAAGGAAGGGCTGGGGGCTTGACTTTCTCAGAGAAGAGCCTGAAGGGTCAGCCCGTCGCCCCAGATGCTGAGAGGGTGGCTTGCTGGGTCCTGTCACAGACTTTCGAGGAGCCTGCAGACATCTGAGGAAGCCACAGCCAGCAGAACTGAAAGATACGTGTTCTGCTTTGTTTGTGCAGGGCCCAAGCGGAGGAGCGCTATGGGAAGGAGCTGGTGCAGATTGCCCGGAAAGCAGGCGGCCAGACGGAGATCAAGTAAGAGGTCCCAGGCCCTGGGCATTCTCTCCCTTTGAAAAGTACTTTCCGGACATTTAGACAGAATTTAGGATGGACTGGGGAGGGCCAAGGAGGGCCAGGGAGGGTCTGGATGGCTCCCAAGGTAGGGGTTCCTAGAGGACAACTGTTGAGTATTCAGAGGTCAGGTTCTGTATATGGGAGAAACTCCAGTGATCCGAGTGGCAGGAAGGCCCCTGGCAGGGGGCCAGGGGCCACTAACCCCAGGCACTTGCAGTACATCTCATACAATATGGACAGCCTCCCCCAAGGTCCTGAGAGCTCTGAGAGGCTGGCGTCAGGCCCTCCACTCACTGCCGAGCCCCCTGCGGCGTTGGCTCTGCCTAGACTGCAAGGTGAGTACCCACCTGAATTCCAGTATCGGCTCCTCACCCATCAGCTGTGTGATCTTGGGTAGGTCACTGTCACTCTCATGCCTCTGTTTCCTCATTAGTGAGGCAGGATAATAATGCAACTTCCTCTAAAGATTAAAGGAGTCCAGGGGCTCAGCTCCAACCTGGCTGGGAGGAGAGACAGTAAGAGCAGCTGCTGCTGTGGAGCAGCCCGGCATCTTGAGCCCAGAGGCCTGGATCTGTGTGCAAGCAGGCTGCTGGGTAGGGAGCAGATGGGGAGTGACAACTGAGGAGGGCTGAAGGAGAACTTCCTAACAGTGAAGTGGAGCGGCTGCCTTGGGAAGGTGTGGACTCTCCCCTTGGGTGAAGACTGAGCCAGCCTGAGAGGCAGGCCAAGGTGCTGGAGTCCGGATTCTAAAAGGGCTCTGAAGAGTCCTTCTCCTCCTACCCAGGAGTCTCAAGACCTGACCCCAGCCTGCAGCTGCCATAGTAACCCCTGACTCTTGCCCCTGCTACTCTGGAGGTCAAGCCTGTTGATTTGATTCTCTGGTTCTGCCCAAGGAAAGTGGCCCCAAAACATGTCGACTCCAAAACCTGGAAACAAGTCCCCTCATTTCAGTGCCCTGAACACTCTCTAGGTCTTCTAAAAACCCAGGGGGCTGGCTCCTGCTCTCAACCTGAGAAAATATGGGAAGAGGTAAAGGAAGGTTTTAAAGTGGTATGAGCTAGGGTAGATGAATGACCAGCCCATGCATTGGACCAAAAAGCAAGAATGCAGAGTAAGAATTCAAGAGCTCTAGTCCCCACACAGCCTTTGTGAGCTGTGTGACTATGGGTAAGTCCCTTAACCTGTCTGAATTTGGTTCTCATCTGCCCATTCCAGTGGACTATTGTGCAGATCAACAGGAACATGGGCTGAGGGTCTTCCAGGGGCAGGGCCAAAGCTGGGTACAGGCTCAGTGCAGAGGAAGCCTCAGGACATGGTGAGGAATAAATGGAGTCAGTTGGGGCTCTTCTTTGTCTGCCCCAGTTGCAGGAGCCCCTGCCTGCCTCCTGCTGTCTTAGACCAGCTGTAAGAGAAAAACTTTACCAGAAAGAGATGACCTCCTGCAGGAAGTTGGAGGGGGTGCTCCAGGCAGAGTCATAATGGAAACCTAGGCTAAGGGGCTGTGAGTCACAGAGGACTAAAAATAGGGAAGGAGAAGCCACTATGGAACAGCATAAACTGAGAGTGGAGCCACAGGGGCAGTGGGAAGGGCAGGGAGGAACACAGAATCTTGTTCTGTTTTTAAAACTATGCAGTGGCCAGGGCAACATTCTGAGCAGCCCTGATCCCCTGCGTGGTCATAGGAGGCTGAGTGGGGCAAGGTCTGCCTTGCTGTACTTACTGTGTGACCTGCCATGGTCATGCCCCCTCTCCAAGTCCTGGGTTTCTCAACTTTAAAAGGGGAAAGTGACCCTCAAGATTTGCTCTTGGCAGTTACAATGTTGCGCAGGCACCAACCCACGAGGATGTTTAACATGGAGGCCTATGTATATATCAACTTACTGGGGTCACCCTGCTTAACTTGGAGCTGAGAAACCTGGAGCCTTAACTAGGTCCAGGTTAAGGTCGGAGCCTTAACTAGGCAGCCTCGACCATTATTGCCTTTGGGTCCCAGTCCCTCTGGCCCAGAAGGCTGGAGACTGTGAGCCCCTGGACTGACAGCCTTCATCCAACATGGGAGCCCCAGGCTGGGGTGGGGAGCAGAGTCTGGGTTTGTCTTGCTGTCCACCAAGAGGAGCCAGAGCCTGGGCTGTGTCTGCCTAACCTGAAGCAGGAAAGGCAGAAACAAAGTCTGCAGGGAACTCTACAGCCCATCGTGGAGATTCCAGAGCAGGCAGGGAGTCCTGTGTGAACCAGCACTGCCTCAAGCTCCCCATCCACCTGGAGCAACCAAAGAGCAGGGCAGAGTGGGGTGGAGAGGGGAGCTCGTCTCCTGGGGGAGCCAGAAACAGAGGGAAGGCACCTTTCTGCCAGAGGACTGGCACGGACGACAGCTGAAGGCGGGAAAGTGCAGGTGCATTCGGAGCCATGGGGAGACGGAGGCAGGAGTGGCACCATCTCAGCTCACTGGCCATCTCCTTTAGAACCACGTTCCACGCAGCTCCTGACACACAATAAATTCTTAGTAAGTGCTGCTGTATGTAACCCATGAAGCATGGACTAGGGTTAGTGAGGCCATTCAGTTATTCCTTCCTGTAACTGCGGGCCAACCACCTGTCGCCCATCCATTTATTCAGCTCGCACCTATGGAGCACCTATTATATGCCACATCCTACACCAATAAAGGGCCCCACCATCCTGAAGCCACTGCCTAGCACATTGAGGGGGATTTCCTCCTCCCTCCACCGAGTGCCCTCTTCCGCCTATCTCCTTCAGGAAGCTCTTCCGTACACTCCAGCTTTGCCTGTCAGTTTTGTCTTAGACCAGATCACTCCGTTCCCACACCAACTTGGAGGGCTCTTGGTGGGAATAATGAAGGACAGCCTGGGTCACCTCTATGCTGTAGACACTTGTTAGGATGTGTTTAGGACTGGCCCCTCTGGGAATGTTGGCCTGACGATTTAGCTTGAGGGCTGGCACTTTCTCCTGCAGGGCCCATCTCCTGCTGCATGGCCAAGATCCCCAGGTTCCACAGAAATCTCATTCTCAGACCTTTGGAGAGCAGGCAGAGGGCTGGAGGTGCACAGGCTGGGTGGGGGCAAACAAAAAAAGACAAAACCCGGGGTTAAGTAAGCCCAGAAATAGCCCAGTGAGAACCAAAGGGCAGAGCTCATTGGCCTCCCTCGCCTCTGCTGCCTGATGACATAGCATTTCTGCATCAGCCCTGACTTCACACCGGCCAGAAACTTCACTGGGGGTTGGAGGCTCAGCCACATACATTAAAGGGAGATCATTCCCATCTTCAAATGCTTTTTCTCATTCACTGCCTTCACACATTAACTCAGCAAACATCCACTGATCAGTGGCAACAGAGAATGCACAGATAAGACCTGGTCTCCTCTCAAGTTATCCCCACAGGCCTTCTCCATGAACTTTAAAGACAGCACTAGGAAGGCATAGAGGTGTATCACTATTGCTTACAGTACATATACGGCCCTTCAGAAAGCTCACCTCCACTCTCCCTTCCAAACTCCAGGCCTTTGAGCTAACTCTTGACCCCCATTTCTCCCCTTCCAAGTCCTACCTGAACTTCAAGCTCTGACTAAAATATCACCTCCTCCAAAAGCTGTCACCTCCTTCTCTTGCTCATCCTAGGGGGCTGGCCATGTGCTCATAGCTGCCGCACAGGGCAGGGGTTCGGGAAATGAAGGGGAAGCGAGTGGGCAGGGCAGGGGCCAATTTCCTGTAAAGCCCCTCTGTGGTTACCTCAAACAAGGAACTAAATTTGTAATTATACCCTCATGACCCAATCTTACCCCCACTTGCCATATCCTAGAACGCTGAGGTTTTCCTACTTGAAGAGAGTTTGTGTGTGGGGTATGCGTGCGTGCATGCGTGTGTGTGTGTAATAGTTTCTCTTCCTCCGAGCTCAGAGAGGGAATATACCAATGAGTATGTTGCAAGGAGACAGACAGCCCTGTTACCAGAAGGAGTCCTCTGACGCCAGCTTCCTGCAGGCCCAGCCTCCAGCACAGGGAATTGAGAGGAGCCACTCCTGTCAGCTGGGAGGCAGCAGCCTCCTGGCGAGGAGGTGGGCAGGAGGTAAGGAGGCCAAAGCAGGGACCTGAGATGGTGTATGCCACATGTTGGGGAGGGTACAAAAGAACATACTTACGCTGGAAATGTAGGCTACATTTGAGCACAGAATTTTAGGCTGAGAGTCTTGAAAGCCAAGTCTAACTGGGCCACTGGACAAGATATACACAAGGACATCAGCAACGGATAGCAGAGGGGAGATGTCTGCATGGGGTCTCTGTCCTTGACATTCGCTGAAGATACAACGGAAGAGAACACGAGGAGATCTTGGTAACAGTTTTTCTGAATGGCAAGGAGGGAACACCTGGGAATGATAGAAAGGCTAAGAGAAACCATCATTACTGGCTCTCATGGGGCAGAGAAAGGCTTCAAACGGTCCCCAGGTCCTCCACAATATTGGAATTTAAGGCCGCTCCCTTGGGGAGAGCCTTTGCTGACCCACAGTGGACTGCCTCGAGTCTGGGAAAAGTTGAGGTCCTCTTCTCATCGGCTGAGGCTACCTCCTTAGAAATCTGGGGCCAAGAGAGAGAGGTGGCATCCTGTGTCCCGTCGTGTGAGTGGAACTGTGATGGCCCGATGGTATCAGTACTTAGAATAGGGCTGGGGCAGGAAGGTTTGCAGCCCAGAGATGAGCAGGTGGCAACCTGGAGTGGTTGGAACCTGCATTCCCTGGCTGTCCCAGTCACAGCCAGCACCTTTATCTGTGCAGCCCCAAGGCCCAGTAAACTTGCGGGGCAAACGAGAGCCCAAGGTGAGCATGGACTTTGTCATCATCAGGACCATCTTAGGATGAGTGCAGAAATTGAATGTCCACCTGGCAGTGCTGTGGACTCAGGAAGGGGTTTTAAGCATCCAGTAGGGATGAACAGAAGGACCAGATGCTCCTGTAAGCCTGGGATGGAGGGCAATGAAGAGAGGGACACAGGTGGGTTTGGAGTTGAGGAAGGCCTTGGTATTCATGAGTGCTGAGTTTGTTGCTCTGAGCTATAAGCCTGGGAACAATAGGAAGAACACCAAGGCACCAGGCGTTGCCCCTGTTTAGTGGGCTCACAGTTCAGTGAGGTGACAGACACTCAACGAATCAGCCCAACACTTCTCCCTGTGTTCACAGGAGGGGCAGAAGAAGCAGCTAGGCAAAGATGCTACAAATAGGAAATTAGCACATGCAAAGGCCCTGAGGCAAGAAGAGACATAGCATAGAGAAGACACTAGTAGATGGCCAGGTGCGGGGGTTGGCACAGAGAACAGGGCTAACAGGAGGGGAGCTGGAAGGGAAGGTGTGATGGGGCAGGGACTAGGGTGGTGGCAGTGAGAAATGGACAGAGAGGAGATTTAGGAAGTAAAAAAGAAGATAGTATAGAAGGAGGAAGAAGGTAGAGTCAAGGTCAGCACTTGCATTCTGTTGTGGATAGCCAGGTGGACAGTGGTGCCTTTGCTGATAGGGGAGCCCTGTAGAAGGAGCAGGTTTGTGGGGCATTGAGGCCAGTTTTGTACATTCTGAGTTTACGGCGTCTGTAAAATGTTAGATCCAAATGTGAGGATGAGGCAGTGGATGTGCAGATCCTGAGGATGTGGTCTTAAAGGAGTTGGGAGTCCACAGGTTGTATAAGAGCTAGGGTGGAGAGAAGAGGCCATGCTGAGCCTAGAGAGGCTCTAACCATGAATGGGGAGATAGAGAGGCAGGAAATGAGTGTGTGCAGAGGGAGAGGAACTGGAGGTATAACTGCTGGCAAGGTGTCAATTCTGTTAAGAGGAGTCCCACCACTCCCCAACCAGGGCAGTGCTGCAGTCACTCTTCTCCTTCCTCTGGCCAGAAGCGGAGGGCGGCACTGACCAGTCTCACCCAGCACGATCTCTCACTAGTAGTGTGGCCTGGGTCAGTTTCTTCAATTCTCTGACCCTGGTATTTCTAATCTGTAAAAGAGCAGAGTTGTGAGGATGGAATAATTAAGGCCAGCAGTCTTCACATCTGAATGGACATCAGCAGCACAGAGGTTGATACAGTTTGCTGGGCACCAGTTAGTTTAGTTTCAGGACCAGTGTGAGCTTGAGAGTCTGCATTTTCAACAAACTCCCAGATGACACTAATGCTGCTGGTTGCTGACCACACTTGGAAATCCACTTAGTTTAGGGCAAGGAGTCTGGCACTAACTAAAGCCCCACAGTTCTCCTCTAGGCCTGGATCCCTGTGGGTCTGCCAGGTTGTTACTCCAGCTTGGCTTCAGTTTCCCTGATTGTCCAATGGGAGGAAAAAAGTCCCCGGAAGCCTGCCTTGCATGGATTGCTAGGAGATGCAGGCAAGAGGGCTGGAGCCTAGGGTTGTCCCTAGCAGACGCTACGCAGCCTTGTGACCACCAGGGAGCGGGCGCTCTGCTCCGCAGACAGGCTATGAGGGGCGTGGAAAACCGCGGAGACACTGCAAGGCCCAGGGCAACAGCGTCAGGGTACTTCCAGCGACCTACACATCGCAGTTGCCTCTGCGTGACCAAAGCAAGCCTGTCCGTGCTCTAGTTTCCCAATCGGCCTTGACTCACTGCGGCTCCTCAGGCACCCTAGGGAGTGGAGATCCACAGTGGATTTTGCCTCCTTGGCTGCAAATACAGGCAGTTAATTTTACCCCTGAGAATGGGCAAGCTCTTAGGTGGGACACTGGGAGGCAGTACAGCTCAGGTCAGGTTCTGGGGTCCAGGTACCCCTAGGACTAGTGGGATGTGCAGATATGGGCTCAGGAAACAGTTGCACATCAACCACCAGATCTCGACAGAGGTGCTTTATGCGGATAATTCATTTAATCTTCACAACCATTCTGTTTGTGCTATTATTATCCCTGTTTTACAAAATGGGAATGGAGACACAGTAAGTAACTTGCTCAAGGTCACACAGATAGTGAGGGGCAGAGCCTGGACTGAACCCGGGCTGTTTGGCTCAGGGTCTGCATGTGGGAGTCTAGACAGGAGCCCCTGCCCCAGGTCCTGTGGGTCTCCCATGCAGGTCCTGTTACTGACCCAAAAAGGACTCTGCCTCCTGGTACCCCACTGCCTATCAGCAGACAAGACTGGGTCCTGGATGGGCTCCAACACCTTCACTTAGGCCTCAACTTCGTCCATGACTCTGGGGAAGAGACCCATTGGCAGGCTGCCAGATAAAATACAGAATGCCCAGTTAAAGGTAGATTTTGGACAACCAACAAATGCTTTTCTGATGTACGTTCAAATATTAATGGGGCATGCTTATACTCAAGAGGTACTGGTTATTTAATCTAAAATTCAAATTTAACTCGTGACCTGTATTTTCATTTGCTCCATCTGGCAACCCTGCCAAGGGAGCCCTTCCCCCATCTCCATGCCAATGCCGGCCTCTTCCTTCCTGCTCCCCTTGAGGCTCACCCTGGAGCACACTGTGCTGTGTCTCTGCTCCAGAATGGCCACCGTGCTGCCTCATGACTCAGGCGCCCAAGCTCAACACACCATAAAGTAAACTCCCCATCTTCCCTCCTGAGTCCCCCTCGGAGGAGTCACCACTGTCCACCCAGCCACCCCTGCCAGGGGCCAGTGACAGCCTTTCACTCTCTTTGCCTGTACATCCTGTTCTCCCTGTCCTAAGACTCCCGCATCCTTCCCCTCCTGAAACCCTTCCACGCTTGCCCCCTCCCATTCAGTTTCTGCAAAAAATATCCTCCAGGCCACCTGCCTAAACCCTGGTCTGAACCCAGCTTTCTCCTAACCTCAACCAGGGGAGGGGCTCCTAGGATGGAGGTAAGGGGCGCCGAGGACATGCAGAAGCCAGGATCATTCTACCACAGTGGGGAGGTTTGATTGCTTTAAAATTTCCAAAGAAAGCTTTGTCTTTTAGAAATCCCAGTTCACTTGAGTCTAGGTCGCTGTATGTGAGTGACCCAGGGCCTTCCTGCCAAAATAAAAGTCCTGGAGGGCAAGGTGAGACTTCACTGTGCTGTCCTCCTGCTGACCCTGACCTCTCTGTTTTGCAGCTCCCTGAGGGCCTCCTTTGACTCCCTGAAGCAGCGTAAGTCTCAACTGTCCCCTACCTCGGGCTGTAGAGTGACAGGACCTTCTGGGAACATAGACAGAGGTGGATGGATTCTTGCCAAGTGGAAATTCGGGCCACATACAGGCCTTTGGCACTGGTGGCGGATTTGGAACTGAGGCTGGCCTAGATGGAGTGTGGGTGAAAGGCCCCTTGGGTCTGATGTACGAGGCCAACGTCCATACTCTGCCCTCAGAAATCGAGGATGTTGGTAGCTCCCACATACAACTGGCCCTGTCCCTGCGTGAGGAGCTCCGCAGCCTCGAGGAGTTCCGAGAAAGGCAGAAGGAGCAGAGGAAAAAGGTGAGGCAAGTGCTGGGGTGCTCCCCCATCATCAAGTCCTCAAGTGGGAGGCGGCCACCTTCATTGTGGAGGTGGTGACAGGTGGGCCCTCCTGATGGAGCCCAGGGAGGCTTGGGGGCAGCCTCCCAGGCTCGAGGGTGATGCTAATTTGAAGGAAGGGAAGGGCTCAGCTCACAGGCCTGGGAGCCCCCTGGGGGTCTTTTCCCAAAGCTGCCTCATGCCAAGAAGAGGGGAAGATGTGGGCCTTGTTAACCACCCTACCACAGCAGACTGCAGAGTGGCAGTGACAGCTTGGGGTTATCCAAAGAAAGCAAACTAAATTGGGGAGTCACCAAAAACTGCTCCTGAGCCCAAGGATCGAGGCTGTTTGTGCTGGGGAAAGGCAGATCGGGAGTCAGTCACTGACCACTCTGCCCAAGGCAGCAAAGAGTATATCATGCTTACCTCACCATCCGAAGATACATCTCACCCATGTGTAGGACATAACTGTCTTTAAAGGGACTGTATGGGAGGAAGTGGGGCTCCCATCACGGGAGCTGTGCTAGCAGAGATGGAAGGCTGTGTCAGGGAGGCTGCAGTGGTAGGGTGGGAGGTGGGCTTTGTGACCTCTGTCCTAGGGTCCCATCCCAAGCCTGAGACTGACTGGCTGAATATTTGGCCCATTGAGGGGGATGGTCAGGTGTGGACACATACTTAGCCTCTAGGGTTTTAGAGATGAGGGTGGTGTCCTGGACGAGGAGGGAGAGGCCAGCAGACAGAAACGCTTCTTGCTTGGAGAGGAAGGATACTTGTAAAACATCCAAAGAATTGAAAATGGAAAAGTCCATGCAACTGAGCTGTGAAGGGGAAGATGCCAGCTCATTGCTGGGGCAAGGCTGGGATCATTGCATGTCCTTGTCTCACTATGCCTCAGTTAAAAGATGGGACACTTATGTCTACTTCCTAAGCTTTGAGGACCTAGCCAAGAACCAGGCTCCTATCAGTCTTAAGAGACAAGGCACTGGCTCTAATGAATGGTTCTGACCACAGAAATTCAGTGTGGCTGCATTCTCCGTTTGCCCATTGGACCAGCCAGGGCCTCAGGCTTTGGAGATTCTAAATTTGGCTTCCTGAGCAGACAGTGGGTCCCCAGAGCTGGCTCCAGAAGCCTGCACAGCCTTGAGGTGCTGCAGGAGATGATCTCTGCAAGCAGGGGCTTGTCTCTAGAGTGTGCAATCACCCGCTCAGACAGCGAGGCCCCAGGCTGGCTATTTTAAGCTCTCCTGTGGCCTGTGGGACTGTGCATCTGCAAAAGCTGTTTTGGACAGAGCAACACCTTCCCAAGCTTGGCCAACACCCTCACAAGTGGAGAGCTGTGATGTAGTGTATGAGGAAGCCTGCTTGGGCATGTCTATGAGTACGTGTATGTGTGTGAGGGAGAATGTGGACACACATGTGCATGCCTATGAGCATGTGAGTATGTGTCTGTGAGTGACCAGGTGGCTTGCCTGAGGTCTCTCCCCTGGCACGAGCCTTACTGTGACCCCAAGCACAAACCAGCTCCAGCCCCAACATGAAGGTCATCTCATTTTCAGTTGCTCTCATAACTTATACCCAATCTCTGTCTGGGCTGAGTGTCATCCTCTCCATCTAAACATAGAGCTTGGGAGAGAGGTGAGGGTCCAGTGGCCTGTGTACCTGCAGGGGGCTGTAACTAAGTTTAGAGTGTGTGTGTGTTCACTTGTGCGAACAGGCCGGTGGCTGTACACAGGGAATATGGCAGTGTGCTTGTGTATACTTGTGCATGGTGTCTACAGGTGCTCTGGGAGTGTGCATGTGACGGCCTGTGTGTTCCAGTGGGAGCAGTGGGTGCATGGGGGGTGGTTAGTGTGTACTTCCACGTGTGTTCTGTCATGTGGAACTTTGTGTACACGCATGTGTCTAAGTGTGTACACAGTGTGTGACAGCTGTGAGTGGGTACAGAGGTGTGAATGAGGACTCTGTGTGTGTGTACACACAGACATTAGATATTCTCTGGCTAGAGACCAAGTCCTGGCTGAAGGCTGCAGCCAATGAGAGGACACGCTGGGCATGCACATGCCCTGGGCTTCTCCAGCTTTCTGTTCTGACATTAATTGTGAAAGAGCAAGGTGTGAGAGAGGGAAGGCATCTTGTTGCTACCCCCCTTCAGAGCCAGGGGTGTGCTATACCTTATCCCAGAGAAACCCCATCCTCTTGGCCTAGGGGAGTGTCCAGAGGCCACAGCCCCCCTCTAAGAGTCTCACATCCCCTGCAGTACGAGGTCGTCATGGACCGTGTCCAGAAGAGCAAGCTGTCACTCTACAAGAAGACCATGGAGGTGGGTGCAAGGCTCTTGGGTCTTGAGGGAGGCAGACAAGGTATGGGCCCTAGAAGACCTGGGATGGGCGCCTGGGACAGGGACGGCCTCAGATCTTCACCCAGCTACATGTGCATTGGCCTGTCACATGATCAGGGCTAAACTGGGGACTTTTGACTGTTGGACAGGCGGTCAGCCCCTGACAGTGACCCACAGGGTGATCCATGCTGTCAGCTGCAGAGTCTAAGAGTGGAGGGAAAAGGGACCCCTGAGCTGTGTCCCCTGGGATACTGGGTGAGGAAAACAAGACTGCACAAGAGGCCAGCATCTTGAGGATGATGGTATTTTCAGGGACTGGCTGGTAGTTTAATGGGACCTCTTCTCTGAAGAGGCCGGAGCTTTGGGCAGGGCTACTAAATCCCCAATGGAAAGGGGCCTGGGAGTAAGACTCCTTCTCCTTCCCCATTCTGGACCTCCACATCCCTGTCCCTGGTGAGGAGACCCCCACTCCATCCATATCCTCCAACAGAAAGAAGGGAGGCTGGGCTCAGGGAGTCCCACTCTAGGCCCCCGCAAGTCACACCCCTCCACACCCCCAGTCAAAGAAGACATATGAGCAGAAGTGCCGGGACGCTGACGATGCCGAGCAAGCCTTCGAACGAATTAGCTCCAATGGCCAACAGAAGCAGGTGGAAAAGGTATGTGGGGCCACTGAGGCCATATGCTGTTACCCAGGGCTGGGGCAGGGCAGGTAAGGCAGGGAAGGGGTACCGCAGACACCCCCAGGCAAGGTCTGCTTCTTGGACATGCTAGCTGCCCACCCCTCCCCGAACCTCATATCCCCACCTGTGAAATGGGTTTCCTAGAATCTCAGGGCATGAACTGACAGGGTCAGCTTGATCACCGTTGCCATCTCCAAGCTGCACCCAGGGACCCATTCCTCAGAGCAGGCCCTCTGTAGCCCAGGCCCAGAGCTCATGGGACAATGAGCAGAAGCTAACTCTCACACAACCCTTGGAGTGGGGCTCAGTGAGCTTATGCCACAGAAAGGAAACCAAGGCTCAGTGACAGTGAGTGACTTGTCTGAGGTCTCAGAACCAGGGATAAACAGAGAAAGGATCCAAACCCAGGTCATCCAGAGCCCAAGCTCTTGACTGCTCTTGACTGCAGAGCAGGGTTGGAGTGTCAGAGCCAGGAGGGTCTTGACACGTTTTGCCCCTTGCATACAGACGAAAGCTGAGGCCCATAAAGGGCAGGGGCCTGAGGATCAGTTAGGGGCAGCAAGTTGGGAGCCAGTGGCCAAGTCCAAACCAGGAAGTTCAGCTCTGCCCACATAAGTCCCAGGTCCTGGCCCCTGGTCTAGGTCCTGACACCTAGTTTTCAAGTGTTCCTGCGTGGGCCGCAAGTTTCTGGATTTTTTGGGAAGTTTTTTTATTGGAAAAACTTTTTTGTTGTGGTCCTTTGTGGAGTGAAGCTGGAGTAAATAACAGTACTTGCCCACAGTCGGCTCCTGAGCGTCCCACTGGGTAGTGGTTGGGGGAGCTGTGTGTGACAGCGGCACTTCAGAGTCACTCAGGGAGGCCGGGAGCCTTAAGCTTGGGGCAGTGGTGTCCAGGGTAGGGACTCAGCACTGCTTTCCATTTTCCTCCTCAGAGCCAGAACAAAGCCAAGCAGAGCAAGGACTCGGCCATGGAGGCAGGTATGTGGCCCACCTGCTTCCTCAGACCCGGGTGGTAGACTGCACAGGCCTTCCCCCAACTGCGTACTTTCCTACCCTGGGGACATATACACTCACACCTGACCACACAGAGTCACAAGCTTGTCACTTTCATTCCCATACTTATGAAAATAGAGCAAAAACATTCATGTTCTCATTTGCCAAAACTATTCTTGGTGGTTTGCATGTTTCAACGAATCTGTATGACAGTCCTATGAGGTGACTGTTATTACTACCCTCCTTTTAACAGATGATGAGACTGAGGCACAGAGAGGTTAGGTAACTTACCTAAGATCACCATCAATGAGTGGTGTCGACTGCATCCAACCCAGGTCATCTGGCTCTAGAGCCTGAGACTTTCACAACCACCCTCATGGCAGACAGACCCATTCATATCTCTCTCTATCTCTGTCTCTTACACACACACACACACACACACACACACACACACACACACACAGAGCCTTCTCTGGGCCTGTCTCCTCTGTCCTTCACCTTCCACACCCCTCGTCTCTGCCAGCATACTTCTTAAGACAGAAAGCTTGCTCTGCTTCCTTCTCCTGGGAAGGGTCTCCCTTCCACTCTGCCTCTCCCAGGACACAGCTGCTCCCATGGCTGGAGGGCATGTGAACCCCAGAGTTCTGGGGACAGAGGTCATGGCCAAGCCTGCTGGGTCCCCAGCCCAACAGCTACCATACTGCCCTCTACCATCCTTCAGTGTTTGCCCTCAGTTTTGCACCTGGAAAGTGATGGGTGGGACTCAGGATGGCTAGAGGCCTGGACTCTGACCTTGGGCAACTTAGAGCACAGTAGGGAGCTAAGAGTTACCCCAAAAGGAGCAGTAACACAGTGGGTGACCCTGACAAGTGTCCAGATGAGAAGGCAGCAGCCGGAGCAGGTCTGTCTGGGGAAGAGGGAGCTCTGAGCAGGGGCACTGAAGGAGCAAAGGTGTGGGCAGTGGGGACATGCGTCTATGCCGCTGATCTCCCTGAGGGCCACCTGTTCTTCCAGAGCGAGTGTACAAGCAGAACATTGAGCAGTTGGAGAAGGTGCGGGGTGAGTGGGAGCAGGAGCATCGGACCACCTGTGAGGTGAGTAATCCTGGGCCTGTTTCCTTAGCTGTAAAATAGGAAAGACATTCCTCCTTGCTCCAGCTGCTTCATAAGGGGAAATAAGGCAGTGAGGTGGTGGGAAGACCTCATTCCTTCATTTGCCCACTCAGGTATTCACGCCCCAATCCAGACTGGGTTCCCGCCCCCAGAGAGCTCAGTGCCTGGCTTTGTGCCCTAAGCCTCTTTGTTTCAGGCAGGTATCTTTCATTCCTTTTTGTTGAAGCTGAAACTGAGGCCCAGACAAAACCATAGCTTCTTTGGGCCCTGCTGGGAAACAGTAGCTGGGAGACAGGCCTCAGGACTGTTCCTCTCACAGTGCCCTCCCAGGGCCTTTCCAGTGTGTGGTGAGCCTTGGAGGGAGGGGGCAGGAACCCCACAAGCAACTCAACCTCCTTCCCAGGAGCCTCAGGTGCTAGCACAGATGGGGGGTGGGGACCCCCAGCAAGAGTCTTTCCCTTAGACTTGGCTTTCAGCAGAGGGGTCTAGCTTGTCAGCCCTAGCTGAGCTGTGAGTTGGGCCTAGGCTGGCCTGGCTCTGCAGCTCCCTTCTCACCTCTTATCTCCCTCCCTTCCCACAACCCAGGCCTTCCAGCTGCAAGAGTTTGACAGGCTGACCATCCTCCGAAATGCACTGTGGGTGCACTGCAACCAGCTCTCCATGCAGTGTGTCAAGGATGATGAGGTCAGGGGATGAAGGGCAGGGAGGGGTATGGAGCGAGCTAGTAGAGGAGGCAGGTAAAGACAGCAGCTTCTGGGCAACAGGATGCCCTGGTCCACCTGAGTCTGTCAACAAACACCTCAGGTCTCATCCTCTGCCCCAAGGCTCCTCCCCCCCCACCAAGGACAGGGATCTCTTTGTTTGGAAGACTGTGCTTCATCTTGGTTATGTTAGGGTCAGGAAGATAGGTGGACACAGCCTCTCGGAGGTCTGCAGAGGCTGGAGGACCCTGGGCTGCTGTGCTCCAGGCCTAGCATTTGCAGGAGCTCAGGTCCAGTCCCTCCTCAGTCCCCTAGTCTCCTCACTGAGCTAGCTCTACTTGCTGGGTGGTCCTACCCAGCCTAGAGGGGCCACTACCTCCTCACCAGGGTCTGACCTCTGTTCATGTAGCCCCAGAGCCATGAGCTGTCCTGAGGCAGCCCTGACTCCCTGGTGCTCACTTCTCTTATTTGCCTGACCTCTCCACCCATGGGAGGAGGGGTTTTGGGTTCCCCAACCCAAATGACTTGAGCCCACCTGTGGCCTCCTTGTGGCAGAAGAGAAGGGTGGGCTCTGGGTCCTGTCATACAGGAACAAAGCCCAGCTGCACTGAATTCTTGTTCTGTGATATTGGGCAAGTGACTTTCTTTCTCCAAGTTTCCTCATCTATAAAATAAGGCAAATAGTGTCTACTGCAGAGGACGGGAGTGAGGTTCAAGTCCCTTGCATAGGATCTTGTGTATAGGAAGTGTTTGGGAAGCAGGAGATGCTGTAGGCCAGGGCTCTGACCCTTCTGGAAGGACTGGGGCAGTTATACCCCAAGGCTTCCCTGAACACAGGCAATGAGCTGTACACATGAGACCTGTGAGGAGGCTGGTGTGGTGGAATTCCCTGGCCAGAGTTCATAGTCGGAGAGACAAAGCCTCAATGAGGGTGGGCACTAGGGTGAGGCCTGGTCCCTCAGCCCTTATTCTTCCTCACCGCCAGCTCTACGAGGAGGTGCGGGTGACTCTGGAAGGCTGCAGAGTGGAGGCCGACATCAATGGCTTCATCCAGGCCAGGAGCACAGGCACTGAGCCCCCAGGTAAGGCCTGGCCTGCAGGGAGCACGGCCTCTGGGTCCAGGCCTGTCTGTCCCGAGGAGGCCTGGCCCTGGTTCTCTGAGCTTCAACTACCAGGGCTGGTATGGCTCACAGATCCCCTCTGGGTGGAGGAGATGTGGCCAGATTCTGGAGAGGAGTTAAGAACAGTGTCATCCCCTGAGCAGAGGATGAGCAGAGCTTAATAACACTGTAATACCCAGAGGAGGGAGTAGAGGTGTAGAGCCTCCTCAGAGCCCCCACTTTAGCCTGTTTGGTCCCACTAAATTATGAGTCCAGAATATTTGGTCTCAGTGGTGCCCACAGTGAGGTCTCTCATGGAAGTGAGGGAGGCCCACTTCCCACCTGCAAGTGTGGGCCAGGGCCAGGATGGGAAAGTAGGTTCCCAGTCTGTGTTTCTGGATGGGGACAAGGTGGGGGATCAGGTGGCAGAGATCCTTCCTGCCCTGCTCTCAGCCACACTGGGCCTCACAGGCTTGCTCTCCACAGCTCCAGTGCCCTATCAGAACTACTACGATCGGGAGGTCACCCTATCATCTGGCAGCCCTGGCATACAACCATCCTGTGGCATGATAAAAAGGTGAGACACTCACCAGGATGCAGAGGTGGGGTTGGGGGCAGGGAGCAGATCCGACCTCTCCTCTTGCAACTGATTGATCTATGAGGTCTGTCCAGAAGCCATGTAATATGAAAAATGTAGACATTTATTGAAGAAGATACAAGATATAAGAAGCAATGTCCACAGGACAATGACACCTGAGTCCCCTTCAAAGTAGGCACCCTGGGACCTCACACAGTTCTCCCAGTTGCCATCAGCTGACCCATCATATTTTCCCAAATCTCACCAGTGGTCTGAAATCTCTTCCATTTTAAAGGTTATTTTAGTTTTGAGAAAAGGCAGAAGTTGCAGGGTGCCAAATCTGGGCTGTAGGGGGGCTGAGTCACCTGGGTGATTTGGTGTTATGCCAAAAAACTCTACTACACAAGATGGGATGCATGAGAAGGTGCATCATCATGATGAAGCTGCCAATCACCAGTTACTCATAGCTATGGCCTTCTGAATGTTCAAGCTTAATGCAAAATTTGATGCAGATTCGTTGCTCTACTTGCTTAGTCATTTTGAATGCAACAGCCACGAAGTACACATGCTCACTCAACAGCATCTACCAACCCCAATGACTAGTACAGTAAAGTCACCATTCACGCATGCCCATTCTAGTCCATCCTCCTTGGCTACTAGGTTACACCAATGTTGCACAAACTGTTCTCATAGTATTAGTAATGGCTGTACTTTTTCTGGACAGACCTTGTATATGTATTTATTAGTCATCTACTGTATTCTTGGTACTGTGTTCAGGTGCTAGGCACTCCTTGTGGGCAAGACAGGCTCAACCTGGTTTCATGAACCCTCAGCCCAAGGGGACCCAGGTGTTAAACAAATAATCGCACCCCATTTATTCATTAGTGAATGCTGAGAGCTCTAGGGATGCCTCAGACTGGCTTCCTGCCTCTTGGAACCTGCTGCTATCCTGGGCTGGTGCCCTGGACACTCAGGCTGCAGTGGTTACACCCTCCTGCTGGTGCAGGACCAAGACATAGGAGCAGGCCCCATAACCAGTATTCTTGGAAAAGTCTCCAGGCTCTTCAGGAGCCCTTCCCTGGCCTAGCTGTGGTAGGATCCAATGCCTCAATGTGTTACCTGAAAAAGTCACTCATCCTCTCTAGGTCCAAGACCCATGAGTGCAAACTGAGGTCAGACTCAGAACCAAAGAACTCTCCTGCTTTAGACTATGTGTGATGATGGTGACAGCCAATTGAGAGTGCCTTAGCCTGCTCAGGGAGTGCACCAGTAGACAGGTCCTGGAGGGGCTTCTATACCCTGTCTGTGAGCTTCTAGATGCATCTGTGGGCTTCACATGGTACCTGTGCCCTGAACCACCATGAAGCCCCCATGATCTCCTCTCCATCCAACCTTATGCAGATCAGGCCCTGCCTTTGGGAGACAGACAAGGGAAATGGTGGAGCAGGGTGGGGGGTCAATGGAGCTCCCAGCCCTCTGAGAACGGCTTATTTCCAAGACCTCAGGAGCCCACAGAACCTCCCAGCAGGATGCCTCAGGGAAGCAGAGGCTCATGAGAACCACTGAAGTTCAGAGCAGAGAGCACAACCCACTTCTCTGAGAACTTCGAGAAAATAGTGACCTCAGGTAAAGGACATTCATACCCTCACAATGTTACCAGAATCTTGGGGGACTCAGGCCTCTTTGAACCCCCTGCATCCCATCCCAGGGGGTCATTTAAACAACTGGATGAAAGAGCTCACCTGAGACAGTGTCAAAAAAGATAAGAAGGGAAAAGAAAAGGATGCCCACTCACAACTATTACTGAATATAGTTTTGGAAGTCCTGTCCACAGCAATAAGACAAGAAGAAGAAATAAAAGGCACCCAGATTGGAAAGGAGGAAGTAAAACTGTCATTATCCACAGATTAACATGATACTATCTAGAGAACCCTAAAGATTCCACTAACAAACTAAGGAACTAATTAGTGGATTAGAACTAATGAGTGAATTCAGTAAAGTAGCAGGATACAAAATTATTAATATTCAGAAATTGGTTGCATTTTTGTACACCAATGACGAAAGAAATAAAAAGTCTATACACAATTGCACCAAAAAGAATAAAATACCTAAGAATAAACTTAACCAGGGAGGTGAAAGATCTATACTCAGAAAACTATAAGACATTAAAGAAAGAAACTGAGGAAAACACAAATAAATGGAAGCATATACTGTGCTCCCAGATAAGAATTAGCATTGTTAAAATGTCCATACTAACCAAAGCAATCTACAGATTAAATGCAATTCCTATCAAAATACCAATGACATTTTTTTACAGAACTAGAATAAAAAGTCCATAAATTTATGTAGAGCAAGTGGCTATTTCTTTTTTTTAAAGATTTTATTTATTTATCTTTAGAGAGGAAGGGAAGGAGAGAGGGAGAGAAATATTAATGGATGGTTGTCTCTCGTGAGTCCCCTCCTGGGAACTGGCCTGTAACCCAGGCATGTGCCCTGACTGGGAACTGAACCATGATCATGTGGTTCACAGGCCTGTGCTCAATCCACTGAGCCACACCAGGGCACAAGTGGCTATTTCTTAAATAGTCACAGCAATCTTGAGAGAGAAGAACAGTTGGAATATCACACTACCTGACAGCACTTTATACTACAAGGCTATAGTAATCAAACCAGCGTGCTATTGGCATAAAAAAAAGACACATAGGTCAATGGAACTGAATAGAGAGCCCAAAAGTAAACCCACACCTATATGGTCAATTAATCTATGACAAAATCTATGTATATGGCAAGAATATACAATGGGGTGAAGACCATCTACTCAATAAATGGTGTTCGGAAAACTGCACAGATATATGCAAAAAATGAAATTAGACCAGCTTTTTAAACTTTGTTGAAAATAAACTCAACAGAGATTAAAGACTTACATGGAAAACCTGAAATCATAAAACTCCTAGAATAAAACATAGGCAATAAACCCTTTGAAATTGGTCTTAGCAATATTTTTTTTAATATGTCTCCCCAGGCAAGGAAAACAAAAGCAAAAATAAACAAATGTAACTACATAAAACTTAAAAGCTTTTGTATCATACAGGAAACCATCCACAAAAGGAAAAGACAACCTATTGAATGGGGGAGGATGTTTGTAAACGATACCTCCCATAATGGATTAATATCCAAAATATATAAAGAACTCATACAGCTCAACATAAAATACAAACAATCTGCTCTACTAGGTGGCTCAGTTGGTGGATGCATCATCCCATACACCAAAAAGTTGTGGGTTCAATTCCTGGTGGGGCACATATAGGGGGCAACCAACTGATGTTTCCCTCTCAGGTTGCTGTTTTTCCTTCTTGCAATCTCTCTTCCTTCCTCTCTGAAATCAATTTTAAAAAAACATGCTTGGCTGAGTATTAAAAAATGAATAAACTTTAAAAAATCTGATTTAAAAATGGGCAGTGGACACATACAGACATTTCTCCATAGAGAAAATACAGATGGCCAATGTTCTAATCATCAGAGAAATGCAAATTAAAACCACAATGAGATGTCACCTCACACTTGTCAGAATGTTGGTGAGGATGTGGAGAAAAGGAACCTTTGTGGACTGCTGGTAGGAATGCAGACTGTGGAGCCACTGTGGAAAACATTATGGAGTTTTCTCAAAAAACTAAAAATAGAGCGCCCACACGGTCCAGAAATTCCACTTCTGGGTACTTACCTGAAGAAATACAAAACAGTAATTTCAAAAGATGTATGTACCCCTATGTTCACTGCAGTCAAGATATGGGAGCAGCCCAAGTGTCCATCGATAGATAACTGGATAAAGATGTGGTACCTGTATACAATGAATATTACTTGGCCATAAAAAGAATGAACTCTTGCCATGTGCACTGGACCTATGCTAAACGAAATAAGTCAATCAGAAAAAGACAAATACCATATGGTTTCACTTATATGTGGAATCTAAAGAACAAAATAAAAGAACAAACAAAATAGAAACAAACTCATAGATACAGAGAACAAATTGATTGGTTGCCTGATGCTTCCATCAAAGGAGGGTTTGGTGGAGGCGGTAAGTGAAAAAGGTGAAGGAATTAAGAAGTACAAATCATCAGTTATAGAAATAGTCACCAGAGATGTAAAACACAGCATAGAGAATATACTCAATAATACTGTAATAACTATGTATGATGTCAGATGGGTATTAGATTGATCACTTCATAAGGTATACATCTAATCACTATGGTGTACACCTGAACCCAATACTGCATGTCAACTGTAATTAAAAAGTGAATTTAAAAATTAAAAAAGGGACAGAAAGGAGTGCCCCAAGATAAAGAGAGGTCCTGCTCTGTAGAGGAGGGAGGGTGTGGTAGCGGTGGCCGTCTGGGTCAGCCAGGTACCCAGCAGAGTGGACAGGGCAGCGGGCAGGGACTGGGAAGTGAGTGAAGGAAGGAACTGGAGTTGCAAGGGTAGAAAACTCTAGGGAAACAAGGCAGTGAGGCAGGACACACACCCTGCCCCAAGGAGCTCTGCTCCTCTCGGCCACCACCCTGCTAGGTTTAACCCTGTCCCACAACCGCCTCTACCTGTGGTTAGCAAAAGGCCTTGTCATGTGCACCAGGTGGACCTGCGTGTCACTCCCAGGCCACTGCTCCACAAACCCTGTGTGGGAGGGCGGAGGAAGGGGAGAGGCTGGTGAGGCAGGGAGGCCACGGTGCTGCACCTGATTAATCAGCTTCCACTTCCCAAACTCCTCCTCTATCCAGCCCCTACTCTGTGCCTTTGCACTCCCCCCTCCCATTCACTGGCAATGCCTTTTGCACTCCAGTCTCTGCCAGTTAAAGCTAAAAGCCTTTCAAGACTTGACCCCATAGGCAGCCTTTCCTGAGGCAGATAAGCAGCAGCAGCTTCTACTTATTTAGCCTTTAGCACTGTTGGCTTCATGGGGTGGCCCTGGTTCCTGCCTCTTGTTCCTGTTTTGTTTTGTTTTTTTTACTGAATCTTTCACGACTCCAACTCAGGACAGGCCTGACCCAGGCACAGGGGGAGGGCGAATGAGCTCAGCACTGCCTCCTGAGCTCACATGTACCAGTGTGTATTGCTGCTTCATGTGGTTGGGAAGTGGCTACGCAGGCCTGGTATTGGGGGTGCGGGTCGGGGGCTCTCAGGGCAGCAGGCTGACTGGGCCCAGCAGGCAACTAGCCCAGTGGAAAGAGTGGATCCACCTCTGAGGGCCCACTCATTGCCCATTGGAGGAGGGTGGAACAAGAACTTGCTGGGGTCAAAGGCTGAGAGGGCCACTGGGATCACCCTTGAGGAAACTTCATGCCTGAAGGGCACCCCACAAGTCACATCTGTGCCAGGAGGCTGGGAGCAGCCCCAGCACCAGAGCTCTGAGGGCTCCCTGCCTCATCCCCTCCCGCAGGACCTACCTGCTTTCTTCCATCCTTAGGTTCTCTGGGCTGCTGCATGGAAGTCCCAAGACCATACCCTCGGCAGCATCTGCAGGTAACTGGGTGTGATGTGGGGCCCTCCAAACAACTGGGGAGACCCTGGGGTGAAGGAGAACTTTTGCACACACAGGCCTCCCTCCAACTGCTGGGGGAAGAAAGACTAAACCAAGTGTGGGGACATTCCAAGTAGGGGCGCCTCCAGGGACCAATGTCCTATGAAAGGGGTGGGCTCCAGGCTTCACTCTGCTCTCAGCCTCCACAGACACCCTGACTTCCACCCCTAATCAGAATGAGGGTGTCTACACCGCTGTCGCAGTGCAGGAGGCACCAGGACCCCTCAGCCTGCCGGCCCGGGACTACAGGGCACTCTATGACTACAAAGCTCAGGTGAGGTTCTTGCCCTCCTCTTCTCCCAGGACAGCATCATGATGCCCAAGTGTGTTCATGTCTAGGCCCATTCCCTGTGTGAGTCCCCTTAGAACAATGCCCAGCACTTGGGAGGTGCTCTGTATCTGCTGAGTGAATATTGATGGAGTTCTAGGGGTTGTGTCTTCCTGAATCTGTTTGCATGCACACATGTGGTACCCAGGCAGACATGGGCATTGTGTGTGCGATGTATGTCCATGTGCGCACATGCAGGCAAGCTGACAGAGCTTGGGCTACCTGCAGAAATGGTCCAAGGGTCAAGCTCTGCACCCTCAGGTTAGGGCTCTGTTCTCCATGGCCACAGGTGCCAAGAACAACCTATAGCCAGAATCTGCCCCTCAACTGTGCTTGTGCTGGGTTGTTTCCTGAGGTCCGTGGGGAATGGAGGGGTCAGGGAATCACAGGGCAGTTGTGCCAAGATGCCTGTGAAGTCCAAACTACTCCTTGCTTTGAGGTAAGGGATGCAGAGCAAGACTCACATCCATGTAGAATGAGGCCAAGCACCCACTCAGGGCTGGGGGCTGCAAGACCAACTGCACTGATGCCCAAAGCCCAATTCCTGATGGGGGAGAAAGTCCAGGAGGACTGTGTGTTGGTGACAGGGGCTAGCAGAGCTAAGGAAGCTCAAGGGAGGTCATCAGCAGAGGGGAGGCTGTGTACAGTGGGCCGAGTGAGGGCACCCCTTGAGCAAGGGCATGGTGAACACACCTGGCCCTGACTTGCTAAGGCGCTGTGTGCCTGAAGCAGAGTGGGAGAAGGGACAGCAGAGAGGTGGAGCAGGAAGCAGGGGAGAGGCCTGGGTTTGGGGAAGGCCTATGATGAGAAACCAAGGAGGGGGTTGGACAGGAGGCCAAGTCCCATGTCCCACATCCTATGTCTCCAAGGACTGTCCCAGCCCAGAGGGAGAGGCCCTGCTTTGCAGCTGGGGAGGATAGGCATGTCTCAGCTGACTCAGCCCACCTGGAAGACAAGCTCTAATATATGGCTTGGGGTGGAGGTTTGCCCAACCAGGCCCTCCTATCAGGCCCCTCCAGTGTGATATACTTTCATTCTGTTACCAAGAATTCTGACGAGCTGGACATCTCTGCGGGGGACATCCTGGAGGTCCTCCTGGAAGGGGAGGATGGCTGGTGGACAGTGGAACGGAATGGGCAGAGTGGCTTCGTCCCTGGCTCCTATCTGGAGAAGCTCTGAGGGAGGGGCAACAGCCCCCACCTGGACCTGCCCTATTGGGCCAGCAGTGTCTCTATGACTGAAAGGCTGGGGCCCCAAGACCAAGTCAGCCCTCCAACCTCATTACTGCTGGCTGTTCCCACAGCAGTCTCTCCTACAGGAAATAAAGGCATATATTCTTCCTCTTCGGCTCAACTGCTCAATTTGGAGGAGGCAAAGGAGGGGAGAAGTCTGGGAGAGCGGAGTTGCCCACATGCAGTGAGGCTCTGCCAGGGTTGGCTGGGGATGAAGAGGAACCCTGGCTCCGGTCCCTGGAAACTCCAACTGCCTGGGAGACACATTCACACTCACACAAATGGGGGACCATGGGGGTCAGGGAGGAGGGGCAAGGAGTTCAGAAGAACTGGGGTGGAGGAAACCAGGCTCCCTGGGGTCAGGAGGGGCTCCGACAGCCAGCATCAGACAGGACACAAGGGCTACGCAGGTGGGTTAGTACAAGAGGGCGGCAGGCCCACTGGGAGTGTGGGGGCCATGGTGCGGAGTCAGAGAAGACAGGCTTAGAGGTTTATAGGTCAAGTGATTCTCACTGCCTCCCTGACCCAGGGGGCCCAAGAAAGCCAGTATTGCTTGTGCTGCCCCCTGTCAAACATGGCAAATCCTGCCTAGGCAGTGACTCGGAGCCTGTGCAGGCTGATCCTGGGCACAGAGGTGGCCATGCTCCCTTTGGTTCTTGATGCTCTCAGGACTTTCTCTCTTTGGACCCAGGCTCTGCAAATGGAACTTCTACTGTCGGCCAAGGCCCTGCTCCAGTCATGACTGGTTCCATCCATGCCTAAGGCTTTAGGGGCAATGTCCACAGGAGACAGCCCACAGGAACCAGTAGCTCCTAAGTCCTAGGCCTTCTGTACTCACCTGGGGACGCCCCAGCACTCCACAGCACAACGCAGCAGCCCGCCCAGCTCAGGGCCAGAGTACTGAAGGGGTGGGTGGGAGACATGAGTCCTTCTCCACCAAACACACCTTGAAAGACACTGTTGAGGGTGTTATTGTCTTCTGTAGACCATCTTTCTCTGGGATTGTAAATTACTTTGCTTGTTCATTCATAAACCTTTGGGGCCCACCCCATACAAGAGCAAGATAAGTAATGCCTCAGTCCTTTGCTCTACTCAAGGAGCTCTTGACCCAGTAAAGGGAACCAAACAGCCCAGAAAGCCCATGACGACACAGGATCTGCGGAACGGTTCTGGGGCTTCTGGGACAGGTAACGTGAGGTAAGCTAAGGAAACAGGAAATCATTTCCAACAGTAAAGGGGTTCCTTTCCACGCCTGCCTGCTCTGGTAGCCCCACAAAGAGCTCTGGGGTTCATGTGTGCAACAGGGAAGGGAGTAAGTGCCATTACTGGAATGCCTCAGGATTTAAAACTGGAAGAGACTCTGAAAGAACTGACCTACTCCACAATGCCCTCCCTGCCACTCCTGGAGACTGGGCACCGGGCACCCCAGTTGGCCTCAACTCCGCTGGTGGCAGGGGGCTCGTAACACTCACGGAAGCCTGCAGTGCACGGTGGCTTCCCACCAGCCCTGGCTTTCGGCCGGGAATGCCACCCCCCTGGCTGCCACACGGAGCACTGTCCCCCATGCCCAGTTTCAGATGCCACAGGGGCAAAAAGGACACCTTTGACCAAGCCCAATCCAAAGAAGAGGGCAAGGAGAGGCTGCTAAAGGGAGCTGTTCTTGTGTTTACAGAAAGTGTCCATCTTGGTGCCCTCAACTTCATCTCTTGAGCAAAAAAGTAGTGGGATTAAGCAAACGTGACACCTGGTACAGGAGGGGGGTGGGCTTTCTTCTTTCAGGAGGCAAAGTGCCTTTGGATTGTGGCCTCTAACTCCAGTCTCAGGGGTATGTGCACCTCTCAAGTCTACAAAGCATTCAGGCTGGGGCCAGGCAGAAGTGAAAAGGCGTAAGGCAGCCCCACAGTAGGGCCCTGGAAGCAGGGTTCTGGAGCTGTGGACTAGGTTAGTTACCACCGCAACCACCAGAGGGTTTGTGGCAGACGGGGTAGGAAAAGGCTTTGGGCCTCTGGGTGTAGGGTGGGGTGGAAATAAATCCTTCCTGAAATGTCATTTTCCTTCATAAAGCATATCCTATGAGAGCACTGACCAAACATCCGCACCTGCCCCTAACCCATCTGAGGTTTATACTTAGGGCTATTTGGAAAGAAAAATATAATCTAATGCTTGGTCTTACATGTTCTGGGAGAGAGAGAAAAGTCGGTGAATAAGGCCTAGCTATGGAAACGCTTCCCTGGACCAGAAATGTTGCCTCAGGTACAAGACTTGGAAGGCAGCCCCATAAGTAATTCAGTCAAGGTATTTTAATGGCTTCTGTGTGAAGGACACTGTATTTGAGAACATGGGGGGGATGGTGTGGTGCTAAGATAAAGAGTACCCTCAGAGCCCACGGACCTCAGAAGGGGCACTGTACTGTACCCTCTGACACAGAGCAGTGAACTGAGCAAGAATGGGACTGGGAAACCAACCAGGTGAAGCTCATCCTGCACAGTGGTGACAGTGGCTCGTCCGGGAAGTGGCCATTGGGCCAGAAAGCAATTCTGGAAGAAAGGTGATGGGAAGTGATTTCTGAGCTGAGCCTTGCGAACTGGCCTGTGCCCCCAGAGGAAACAGATGCAGGGCCCAGAAAAGGCTGGCAGCGGAGCAGACTGGCCACCAGGGTCAGGTCATGTATATGCAGCCAAGAGGGAGAAAAAAGGAGAAAGTTAAATAAGCACTGTGGATCAGTGCTTATTTATTCTTTGAAAATATCTTGTCATCTTGACTGAGCACTCCATTTGACTGCCAACATTTTTTTTGAAATTTTTGCCTAGATATTTATCATCATCTCTGACTGGTTGCTGCCAGTGTCTATGGGCCCCAGGGGGTAATGGGTAATGAACGTTACATAATGCAGCCAGACAACTGAAGAAGAGAACTGAAAGTAACTCCTGGGTCACAATTTATACCAGTGGAAAAATATACACAAACACAAGTGAATCTAAGTCAGATTCACTGCCTCTACTCCATTCTCTGGGACGCAGGCCACAGCCTCAGAGATGGGAACCGGTCTCGCGGACAGTGTTCCAAACAGAGGAGATACAGCCAGAGAAAGAGGAAGCCAGCCTCTGTAGCTGGCTGTATGACTAACTGCAGCCTTCTGCCTGACGGAGGGACCCACAGCCTCTGCGGTCAGGACACTGAGATTGGAATACATGCTCATACTTTTTTGTGTGGCCTCAGGAAAGTCACAATGTCTCTGCACCTCAGTTTCATCATCAGTAAAATAAGGGCATAAGCCCCTGTGCAAACTGAAACTAGACAGGGGATGTTGCTGTACAACATGGTCAACATACTAAATGTCACTGAATCGCTCACTTTAAAATGGTTGATTTGATGCTATGTGAGTTTCACCTCAATAAAAAAACTCATTACAACTTCTAATGCCTGACAGTATGTGCATGCAGGTGTTCGCTGCAGCAAGGTTGGGATTAACCTGAATGACTTACTGCACACTCATTAATCATGGTGTTGACACACCCATCCAGCTAACAAAAAGGGATGACAAACCCTACAGTCTAATACATAAATAGCACTACGCTACGTTGTGAAGAGAACAAGTGAGTCCTGTAGAACAGAATTTAGACAGCAGTAAAGCAAAACCACAAACCTGTTTTTGTGTAAGTAGAGGAAAATACAATTGACCCTCAACAGGAGTGTTAATGGGCACCAACCCCAGCCACCCACAGTCAAAAATCAGCATATAACTTTTGACTCCCACAAAGCTTAACTATAGTGCCTTGTTATCTGTGGGAGAAAGGTTCCAAGAACCTCTATGGACATGAAAATCCATGGATGCTCAAATCTCTTATATAAATTGGCACAAAACAATACATAGAGTCAACACTCTGCATCTGCAGGTTGCCAACCGCAGATCAAAAATACTGCCTTCAATCATGGCTGGCTGAATCTGCCGATGTGAAATCCAAGGACCCAGAAGGTTGGCTGTATATATGTGTATATTGAAAAAATAATCTGCATATAAGTGGACCTGTGCAGGTCAAACCAGTGTTGTCCAACTGTAGTCTAAAAGGACAGACATCACATCTAAACATACTTACTATGGATACTCTAATTCTTATTTTAAAAAATTAGAAACAATTTTCTAAAAGACAATAGGACAAACTCTGATAGATGAAAAGCAAAGACGACAGTAGCAACAAGCACAGCAGGTACCAGGGCCCAGGGCCCCTCGGAGAGACAACTCTAGGACTGGGGCACAGTGGGTACGAGATGAACCCGGAACATCCTGTTATGTCAAACACTACAGAAATGTACCAAAAATGGTTGGAGCACAAGAAGGGGCTCTTACTGGCCAAATCTGAAACTGTGAACCAAAAACAAAACAAAACAAAAAAAGGACAATAAGGAATTATAAATCATTGAAAAATGGAAATCTACTGGTCCATAATGAATACAGATACATAAAAATAAATCAGGAAAATAGTGTTTTACAATCATTATACTCAAGATGGAACCTAAAACAGTAATCATCATAGTAGACTGAATCAGCAATACTTGCTAAATCTCAGGACAAGGTTGGTGAGGAACGGGATAGTGATATGGTCTTACAGTATGTCTCCAGAGATTGCTCATGAGCTGGGAGAAAATAGTAACTATCCTGAACCAGCACATCCACCTCACTAAAGCTTAGTCATGCCCCTCCAACCCATCCTTCTCACCACAGCCACTGGGATCTCTACAATACGTCCACTTGTATCACACATGGCTGCCTCTGTCTGTAAGTCAAGTCTAACTCTCCATAGGATGCCAGGTAAGACCCTCAAAAACCCAGGTTTTGCCACTTCAACTTTAAAAAAAATTTAATTATTGTTCAAGCACAGTTTTCTGTCTTTTACCCCATCCCTGTGTTCCCAACCTCCCTCCCGTTTCCACTTCCCTTAGTTGTTGTCCATGTGTCCTTTATACTAGTTCCTGTAAATCCTTCCCCTTTTCTCCCTGAAATTCCCTTCCCTCTCCCCTCTGGTCATGGTCCCCCTGTTCTCTATTTCAGTATCTTTGGTTATATTTTGCTTGCTTGTTTGTTTTGTTATTTAGCTTCCTGTTAGAGGTGA